GTATTAAGTTTGATCTTACGTCGATCAGACTTGGCTCAACTGGACTCAATCTATGGATGCGCCAGTTCCGATAAATGGGAGACCAAGTTAAGTTATCACTCGATTAACTGTTACTTATTTAACTGGTTCAGTAGTATTTGATTTTTTATCAACTTAGTTTAATTACACCAACTTAATGCTATAAAAATACTCTTGAGTAGCGATGATTTTTTTGTTGTCTTACTAAATTTAAACTGGTGCACACCTAAATGACTACTAGTTACCACACAGAACGTGCTCTTCTCTCCATATGCTTCCAAAGTTATCTTTACCACATATAGGTAACGGAATAGCCGTGGACTCGATCTTTTCACTAATGAAAGAATTCTGTCGAAAACCTTTTTTTACATTTAATAAACTTGAATAAAAAATGTTCGGTGTCGAAGAATCTGAATTTGAAATCATTTCGTCGAACTATTGAATTTGATTCTTTGACTAAAAAAAAGTTGCTTTTTTCTAAAAAAGAAGATCCTCTTTAGTGAAAAATCTTTACTTTAACTTTGTTTTTTTTCTAAAGTAAAACTTAAAGTGTGCTTATTTTAACTTAATCTTTAAAATCAAGTTAAAGGACCATCTCCAGCTCTGATCACAGTGATCGAAAGCCTGTCCTTAAAAATTCTTGTCACTTGTCCTTGTCCAACCTTGATAGATTAGAGTTCCGCAACTTGATTGCATCCTGTAAGACACTACCGCTGATTTATAAGACAAAATGCAAAATTATCGCTTTCGCTTTGTTCGTCTTCAACCGAAACACAGATTCAAATATTCAAGTGACCGGAAAGAATAAAAAAATGTTGACTCTAACGAAAACATAGATGACAAATAGTTTCAGAATATCATGTCAAATGTTTTCTAGTGGAAGTAGTAAAATGATAAATAAAAAAATGTAACCAATCAGTTTTACAGCTATGGCTCGCCTGGACTTCAGACAAAAAATAAAAAACGTTTTAAATTGCGAGGCCATTTCAAAACTGTATAGCGCTGTTTGTTTGTTTGCTTTGAAGGAAAAATATTTTGGTATTTCTTAAAATTATTTCAGAAAGCCTACCATATTATCTTTGCACAAAAACGTTAAAAATGAATACAACAAACGAGCATTAGAACAAATAAAAGAAGCTTGTACAATGAAACATTTTTAAGAAAATAAAGAGAACACAGAAACTACTCACGAGCAGATTGATATGTAAATTTGTTTTTGTTGTTGAGATCGTTTTAGACGACAAATGAACGGATTTCATTTTTTGTGCACATTATCGACGATTCTATCAGGACAATTAGTTGCTCAACGATGCGAATACGATTTCACTTCATATAACGGCTGCACATATTGCAATCAAAAGAAAATGCAAAAAATACGTATTTTGTAACGATGATGTACGGTGTGTCCTTCTTTTCTTTTCTCTCTACAAAACTGTATAGATTGCTAGGCGCGTGTACACATTGAAAAGAAAAAATATAGCTCATTATGTACATCGTGATCGAAGGACATAGCGCCGCTGAAATATTTTTTATCTACGCATGAGAAGTAAATTAAAAAACCGTCAGTGTTTACTTTTATTCGTAATTGTAGGCATTTCTTAAATAGTTGTTTTTTTTAAAGATTTATGTCAACTTTCATGATCAATCTGTACTCTTTATTGTTTGCCTTATTTCTTGTGTAACTTTACACATACCTCTCATTCAAAAACACAATCGTAGTAAAAATGTAGTGACTAGGTGAAAATAGGCATGAGAAACATATCTAGACACACTAAGGGAAAATTCTCCAACGCGTCTAGACGTATTTTTTGTTTGAACATCGTCGCCATGCATTTGACAAAAAAGATATTCTAAAATGTCTATAATATAGAGTTCTACCGAAAACACTGACCAGTACTGGCAAATCTAACAGTGAACATTGATTATTGAATACCTTTTTAGAGATTCAAATATTCAACTATTTAAGTATTCAGCTGAGACATTCTGATGTTCCAATAGAAATGCTACGTGTGTTTCTGTTTCTTCTAATAGTTGAATATGTGAACTGAATATTTGAGTTGTTAAATATTTGATTTTCAAATAAGATAGTCAACGATGAAATTCAAGTTTCAGATTTGACACATAATTTATGCTTTTGTATACTTATCATATTCGTACATTGTGGATAAAATCCATTCTACTTTTCCACAACTTGTAATTCCAAGTTTTTCAAATGTTATTTCATATGGAGGTTGGACATCCCTTATATATATGATTTTCTTTAGCAATCTCAAGTAATTGTTGTCGAATAATTCCATTGAGATATCTTAATGAACTTTTTTATTTCGATTTTAAATATCATAATTACAAATTTTTTTAAATATCATTATTTCATGACGAAAGACAAAGAGAAAATTAATCTTGTTGAAAAAAAATGAGTAAATAATGAATTCTCAATATTCAACGCAATAAAAAATGAATTGATTTTAGAGAGACTATGAACGAACTTTCCCAAAAGGAAAAACTGTCATGCATTTTTGTGAATAAGAGATATTTTCATAGGTATAAGATTTAATTGATAAAATAATTTTTTTCAACTTATTCACGAATAATCAATAACATGCGATGCAAAAATCTTTGAACAAATTTCAAACTATGTTAGACCATATTGCCAACAGCTACACCAATCAAGTTCTTTTCTTTTTGTTGAAAAGAGCAACGTCTGAACTATAAATTTTTTGCCAGACTTACTTTTCTGGAACGAATCTATGAAGCAGAAAAAGTTCTTGTAACATTTTTGTCATTTGAAAAGTTTCTATTTTTCAACTATCTTGAGCTACATGGATGGAACTCTATCAATAAATTCACCAATATATAGCACACCAAACTTTCTATCGTTGTCAACTTTGGAAAATATTTTATAAGATCGACTCTTGACTCCTTAATTACAAAAAATGGAAAATTGAAAGTTTTATTAAACAGAATCTTCTTCAAGAAGCATCAATTTGAAAGAAGATCAAGCGCGATCTCCAGAAACTATTTTTTATGTGCTATTTGTTCGAAATACGTCAGATCCTAGAAACTTACCAAAAAAACGAATTTAAGAAACCTATTTTATTGTTGCGAAACAGTCAGGTAGTAAGAAAGACCAAGTCATACTGTGTTTTTCGGATATAACTATATTTTATCTTAAAAAAAAAGCAAAAACTTAACTTAACTTTCAATACATCATTGGAAAGAATACTTTTTATGCTCGAAAAATCATCATTTCAATGTTCATTTTCATTTTGCTTCTGATATATAGAAATGAATGGAAAATAGAAACTGATTTTGTACGAAGAAGAAATTGCAGAAACTTTTGTAGATGTGTTTGGTTTTTGACTTCTCTTGTTTCGTAGACCAGTTCTAGAGAAGCAAGTCTGGAACAAAATTTGTAGATCAGACTTTCTTCTTTTCAACAACAAAAAAATTTGATTTATTTAGAAGATAGCAAATGGTCTATCAGAGTTTGACCTTTGCCTAAAGACTTTGCATCGCATGTTATTATGATGCACACAGAAAATCCTTATTGCATACGTGAGTTTATGATTAAGATATGAATTTACAATACATATTTAAGTTCTGCTTTGTTTGATAACTATTATGGTCACATGTAATTTTAGCGTGCGTACCAGGACTCCACATAGAATCAGATGGGACGAAAGAAGTCGTTCTATGGTACAAACTGTCCCACATGGGATGCGACTGTCTTTAAAAAACGTCCTATGGGATAGGATGGGACAAGAAAAATTTCAGAACCATGCCCATGGAATGAAAAGAAAAAATTTCCGTCCCATCTCGTTAGTTCCATGGAATAGGATGGAACGATTCTGAAAATTTCTCCATTCCATGCTATCCCATTCCATAGAATTTCTTCCAGAAGAATTGCATCCATAGGACTGATGGAATGAGGCTGTCCCATTTTCTGCGGAGTCCTGGTGAGTATATTTGCTTCTTAATTACTAGTTGAGTTGCTCTACACTCATTTCTTTCATTCTAAATACATTAACAATCTAACATCGTGTTTGCCTATGGTTAGGTAAAGGTAACCGGTAGAGAGTATTTATGGCGACATCAGATAAAACCTGAGACGAATTTTAATATTTTTTGAAATTTCAATATACTAAATCGAATGTATCTAGACGTTTTTCTGTTCGATCTCGTTCATAATCATCGGTCTTCTTTAAAAATGTGTCTTGAGTAAAACATTTTTTTTCGCGTAAACATGCTCGATTATACTTAAATACTGAAAAAACGAGATGATACTAGTTACTATATTGTTGCGTTTCTTCACTGCTTGATTCGTTGATCACAGTATTTAAAACGAATTTTTTAGAAATTACAAGAATACACTTTAATAATGAAATATTATTGTAAGATCATATAGATTTTTCAAGTGTTATTTAAGAGAAAAAGATAATTCAACATAATTTTTATCTACAACGGAGGTTTTTTTCTGTATAAATGATATTGAAACAATATTTCTTTGAACTGATGAGCTAATAAATATTGTTAATGAGTATTTATAATGCAGAGAATATGATAAATGTAATATGATTCGAATACATCTAAAGATTTTTGCTAATTGTAGAAGTATTTTCACATGTAAAATTAGAACAAAAGTTTAAATATTCTTGAACTATTTTTCGCAAAAAAGATCTTTGCTTTATGTATTAATGATATTTTTCTTAGTCTTCATTATCATTTTCAATTATTCTTATCAACTTGCCGTAACGATAAATTAATTGTTTTTTTTGTTAAAGAATGAAAATATTAAGTTAGATTTTTTACTTGTAGGAAAAAATATGTCATTAAATTGAATTATTAGTTATTTTCGATTATTATTATGTATTGCGATCATTTCTATTTACAAAGAGAAGTTGGAATTTATAAATTTTTATTATCAAGCAAACCAAAAAAATTATCATTATAAAATATTGATATTATATCGCTTAGTTTGAGTATCATGTTTTGGTTTCATTATCAATTTTTTCCTTGTTCTTATCATGCATATCAAGAACAATACGAATTTGATCTATTTGAGCTAAAATGATGATTTAAAATAACTCATCATTAATAGAAAAGTATACATACATTGTGTCTCTGGACTTGCAATTCCATTTGTGTATATACGTTGATCATGCAAACGACGATTCATTGATATAGCTTCTTCACCTAATTTATAAATTAAGAAAAATAATTTTATTTATTTTTATTAAGTTTTTATATATTATCATACTATTTAGATTAAACAAAATTCCAATCATAATTGAAATAATTGTTCCTGTTCGACCATGTCCACCCCTAGATAATTTCTTTATTCGACTTTTTTTTTTTGATATTACAATAGATGTTTACCAACAATGAACAAGAACAACTTGTCCTCGTTTAATTCTATCACAAAGTTCAAGACAAAAATCAAGAACACATTGATTGACTTGATGTACAGATTGGTCTCGAATTGGAAATGAAATAAATTCAATTTCACGATTTTCTAAATCATCAAAGAAACATATAAGATTATTTTGTTTTTCTTAAATTTCTAATATGAAAAAAGAAAATTTTTTGGTCTGAGTATTTGAAAGTTAAATAAATTAAATAAATCCTGATACCTTCTTTAGCAAGTTGTAACATAAGATCTTTATATGGTGTAAATCTTTTTAATTCTTCAATTTCCATAATATTAACCACAACTTGAACACCAACATCAATAATCTTACGAATTAAAAGTTTGTGAGCATTAGGATTTCTTTCACCTGGATATGCACTTGCCAATAAAAGTTTAGGTATCACTAGATTAAAATTAATTGCAACAAAAAATACGATCGTTAAAAATCGTAACTAACCCCAGTGTGAGTAGTCTGACGGGCCACGTGCAGATTCATCAAGTTGATTTAATACTAAAGTTGGTATTGTTGTCATTTGATTATATGCAAGAGAAAGTATATAAAAGAAAAACAGATGGGTTCTTGAATATGTCGTTTTCTAACAGTGAAATAGGAGCGGTAGACAAGTTAAGAAAAAACAAACCGTTTTTTTCCTTTTTTTTCTTTTCTTTCTTTTCTTCCTTTATATATGACAAAAACAACAAAGCAGCATGACAAGAAAGAGAAAAACATGAAAAAAATATGCATTTTTCTCTTTCTTGTGCCCTGTAATATAATAAAGTCGCTTTATATATACTGTGAATGTACATGTGCACATATTTATGTAACGGAAAAATATGTTTAATTTCGTAAGGTGGCATGTTGATGTTTTTTTTTAAATTTTTTTGTATATGGATATGTTTTATTTTTTTTTAATGAATTTTCATACGAATAACAAATAATATACTTGATTTTATTAATAAGAGATATAAATTAATATTGCAGATTTAAAATCGATGGCTCTTCTTCGATGTTTATCAAAACAATTAAAAGAAATGGAAAAAGATCCCCCACCATTATGTCAAGCTCAACCAATTGATCCATCAAAAGATATGTTTAATTGGAATGGTTCAATTCGTGGTCCTGAAGGAACACCATTTCAAGATGGAATTTTTCAATTGACAATACGTTTTCCAACTGATTTTCCATTTAAACCACCTCGAATTCGTTTTACAACTCGTATTTATCATCCAAATATAAGTTCACAAGGTGATATTTGTTTAGATATTCTTCATGATAAATGGTCACCTGCATTAACTATTCGAACTGTTTTACTTAGTTTATGTTCATTATTAACCGACCCAAATCCTGAACATGGTCTAGATAATGAAATTCTTAACGTTTATCGAACAAATAAAAGTCTATATGAAAGAAATGCAAGAGAATGGACAAAAATATATGCCATGGAAAATCAAGATAAAGGGTCTTAGCTCAAAAAAGAAAGTTTTTTTTGAGCCGATGAATAGACTGATTATTAATGATTAAACTATATTGAATAACAAATAAATGTTCTATTTCATTCTTTATTCTAACAGAATAATTCTGCATGTCTCGTAAGATTTATTGTGTGTTTTTTCTTTAAATTATTTTTACGCAAATCATTTGGGACTCTGCTTCTTATATCTCATTTAATGATCTTAATTATTAGAAAGTGCACATATTTTTGTTTTTTAAAGTAACAGAACGATTAAAAATCCAAGATGATAATAGTTCTTTTTTTTTTCCTTTAGATTAAGTTCAATCATTCTCAATGGCTCTTGGACGACGTCTTGCTCATCATTATCGCGATATGGAAAAAAATCCACCTCCTCTATGTTATGCTAAACCCGAAGATCCTATTAAAGACTTGACTCATTGGACTGGCTGGATTGAAGGACCACCAGATACACCATATGCTGGTGGAAGATTTCACTTGACTATTGATTTTCCATCAGACTTTCCGTTTAAACCACCTCAGATGAAATTTATCACGCCTGTTTATCATCCAAATATTAGTACAAAAGGTGAAATCTGTTTAGATATTCTTCATTCCCAATGGTCTCCTGTATTAACAATACGTAGTCTTTTAATATCATTATGTTCACTACTGGCAGATCCAAATCCAGATCATGGACTTAATAAAGAAGCTCTGAATGTCTATCGAACCAATCAAGAAAAATATAGCCAAATAGCCAGAGAATGGACAAAAAAATATGCTACAGAAGACAAAACACTCAACTAAATTATAATTATCGAATTATATTTTGAAAAAAATTCTTCAGTGAACAATGAATCATTTTTTTTTAAAAGAAATATGATTCTATTTTTAATGAATAATATGATATATTTATATTATGAAACATTTGATAAAAGGAAAAAAAAAGTATCTTCAAATTCTACTCGTATATTCACGTTGAATATCAGGAAATGAATCGTCACGTTCTATAAACATAGGTTCATCCTCATTTGTATGCTTTGTTATTTCTATACTATTCAATCTTCCAGCTACCATTGATAATAATGGAAGAGCTACTGATTCAAGTAAAATTCCAACCACGAATAAAGCAAAACCAACACCTGTATAGTTAAGAACAGAACCAGCAATAACTAAAGCACAAATACCAAAGATTACGGCAACGGAAGCAAAAATTGGAGCAATAAAAACTAAATAAATATTTAATAATATGATTCCTGTTAGAAATCCAAATATAGTTGAGAAAAGTGTAAAAAGAATAGATATTATTGAAAGTATAGCAGCACTACGTAAACTATAAAAATTTTTAGTTGAAACTTGATAAATTGGAGCATCGAAATCTGAATAAATCGATGCGTCACTATTAGGATTTGTGCATCCGGGACTATATGCTGTAATATTTAATACAGAATTTTGATAAGATGTTGTTGAACATAAATATGAATTAAATGATCCACAATTAAGTGTTGATGATATTACTTCTTGAGATGTATATGGAGCATAACAAGAAGAAAATAAATTAGCTTTAGCTACAATAATTGTTTGATTAGCATTTGTACCAATATACCATGTTGGAAGAGCAACACCAATACATGTAAAAACCAAACTAAGGAAACCAATAATGCTTCCAGTTAGACCAAGAGCAAAACTAACAGAATCATGATTACGAGAAACCATTGACGAAAGTTACAAAAGAATAATTGAAATAGTTTTCTTTCTACCTTTAATGTTGTTGAGAACAAGAGATATTATATTCAATTAGCTGTGAATTTTTTATTATTTCTCTTTTCATGACAAAAAGAAGAAATGTAGACACAAAGTAAATAAATACTTTCAAAAAACAACACGAACAAATTCTATACAATTTCATTTAGTTGCAGCCAATGAAATATTTCAACTCATTGGTATAAACACATCAAATAGTCTTCCAAATCACATTTACATATTCGATCAAAAAAATTTAATGACATTATATTGAGAAGTAAAATATTTTAAAATTTGTATCAAAGAAAAATAATTTTCTATTTGAATGTCTTGCTAAATTCTTTAATTCTTAGATATTAATAATTAATTCTAATAATATTCTATTTTTGCATATACTTCAATTTTTAAACATCACTTATGTGCGTAATTGTCATGTACATCAGGGATCTCAATGGATTAGGTCGAAGGAAGACAGTTCATGGGTCAATCATTTAATTGCGTTGGATACATTTTAAACACATGAATGAGCAATCATATTTCGAGTATCAATAGTTAATATTTAATACATTGTTCGGTAAGATATTTGATAACTTGAAAAATCTTCAATTCTCTCTCGAATTCACCCGCATTTTCTGACTTAACAAAAATTGATGATGAACAACAAGAGCTAGACAAGGATATCTTCTTCAATACAAAACAGAGTTTTTTTTTTCTATAATGATAACAATTTTATCTTTTTCTGTTTTACTTTATATACAAGATATTCCAAAGTTAGAGAATTTTCTATCGATGTTGTCGAAAACTATTTCTGTCGTTTTAACGAGTCCATATCACTTATTTCTTAAAATTGAAAACATTTTTTTTGATAATATTCATAGTGTCCTATAATTTTGGTTTACTCTGTATTATTCAGTTTATTGCAGAAATGTTTTAGCCAATGAAAAAATTACAATGGATTTCCGAAAAAATACGCACAAAAAAATGTGCAACATCTTTTGAAAAATTTGATATTTTATTCGAGATTCGACCCATCGCAATATCGAATGAGCTCAGCTCAATAGCCCATGGTTTTATATTCAGAAATTTTCAGGCTTTAGGCAGGACAAGATCGAACTTGATACAGCAGATTCTCACGTTTCCTACGCATCTTATATTCATGACTATGATTGTGATGGTATGGTGGCGGTATGTTGTATAGTTTAATGTCTTTTTGTTAAAATTAAAAAAACAGTAGTTCATGGCTATAGTTGCGTCTCTATGACTTATTTATCATTGAATTCCATTATTTTGAGTTGTTTGTAGATTTATTACATGTTTTCTTGTTTATTTTAAAGATGTTTTCAAGACTTTCGTTTCCAAAATCTTTTCGTAGATAGATAACATTTATTGTAAAAATTTATCTATTGTTATTTTCTGAACTGTGTGGAAGTGACATATATTAAACAAGTAAATTTTAAGACTTTATTGGATTGATAATACAGATGAGGAACTAAATTGAAGTGTGCACACTGATTTATCACATTTCCGAATATATGAATGAAGTTTTATTATATAAAATGATCTAATTTATATTTTACATTATCTGCAACAAAATATTTTTTATGCGTTTGATAAACCAGTATTTTATCCATCAAAACAACTGAAACAATAGTGTTGTCAACTTGAAATATAATTGTATATTGTTTATGAATAGAAAAATTTTCTATAATAATAATCATCAATCTACAAAGAGTCTCATATTGTTATTTATAATTCAAGTAGAAATTATCATCATTGATAGAAAAAAATGAATTTTCTTTCAAAGAAAATGTCATTCTAATTTTCTGAAGAATTGATAACATAATTATTATTTTTGCATAAAAAATATGTCGACAGATATTGAAAAGATTGTGTATCTAATCTTTCATTTGATTCGTCTCGTTTTAAATTTGAGCATTTTCGTTGGCGCTTTGTTATTTCTATTGGGTGGATGCTTTCATAATCAACTTCGATCATCTAAACGACAATGGCTTGTATTCAATATATGCTTATCAATGATAGTTTTTTCAATTATTAATACGGTTTTTGCCATGTTACCATTAGCACCAACATATCAAACAACTTTGGCTGTACAAATGTGTACATTACAACATTTTCTTGAAGATATTGCACAAGGACAAGTAGCTTATGCATTCGTAATATTTTGTATGCATCAAATAGGACCACAAGAATGGAGAAAGAGAAGTTTTCTCTGGTTTGGGTATGTTTTATTTTAAGTTTTTCAAAGAAAATTCTTTGACAAGATTCAACTTCTTATTATTAATACAAGTGATTTTGATAAGATTAAAAATGGTTCTAAGAATATTTATAGAAATAAATCACCCTTTTAATATAATTCTAAGATATATCATGGTACTATTAGATTTCAACCTTACTATACATTAAACATGCCAATGAAACATTCTTTTTCGAGACTTTCAATGGAATAATCCCATACTTTGATTCTATTAAGAATTCAATCGCCACAAGTCTCTTCAAATCCTGTGAAAACCCTAATCAGAATCCTACTACCAAGAGTCTTATACAAAACAACTGTTGAATTCCATAAAATGTTCGTCTTACACTAATTGTCAGATCTATCTTGATACTAACTGATTTGCAATAAGATTTGTGAGCTGCTCAAACAATTGTTTTCCTATTGGATAGCTGAGCAGATGTCATAGTTCTATCTTCTTCAACAACGAATATCTTAGGATGAAAATATTTGTGCTCGCTCGTAAAATTTCTAGGATACGATGAAGATCATAAGGCAGTAGCAGAGTCAGGAAGCCAGAAATGATCCAGTCCAAAATCCTGGCTACGTCACCATCATTAGGTCTAACTCTTCATACTATTTCAAGATAAGTTCCTTAATAAGAATTATAAGCTAGGTAGAAAAGTGAACAACCTTAGAAAGAATCTCCATGAATATGGATTAGTTGTCAGTCTTAAGCTATATTGCTACTAATAAAACGAAATCCTAATTAAAAAAACAGTTTTCTGATGAGGTATTCTGTTTCTTTTTTTACAAAAAAAGTAAATGAATATAATGAATACTTGTTGAATTTAGAATTTGTGTTGGTATTCAATGGTTATGCAGTTATCTGCTTCCATTACCTCAAATATTGATGTCAAATGTCTTCATTTGTTTTGCATTTTTTCCGAATCAATTTTTCGTCATTTATAGTGTAGCATTTCTTCTTGCTTTACCTGTATTTCTTCATTTAATGATTTGTATCATAATGAGTATATTCCGAACAAGTGAAACAACAAATAATCAAATATATCCTCCCGAACAAATAGATTCGATTGAAATAGATTATCAATTATCGATGAGATGTATTCTAATAATGGCTTTATTATTTGATATAATTGGTTATGGACCAAGAAGCATATTGGCCGTAATTGATTATCAATTACAAGAGAGCATTGCTATTTATGCAGCATTGGAAATTCTTCCATCACTTTGTCTTTTGATTGACCTTGGTTTATTGTACAAAATGAATAAAGAAGTCCGAAAAAAGTTTACATCAGTATGTGGATGTTAAACAATAAAAACAAAGAAAATAATTATTTTGTGTTGTTTGTCTTGTACAACTAATGTAAAACAATAAATGTAAATACTTCAAAAATGAATATATCTTTCATAAATACAAGTCAATGCCTTTATTTAAAAATTAACAAACGACACTCACACATTATACTTCTTGCTGTCTTATAACTTTTTTTTTTATATGTATTATCAAGTTTAAAAGCTATGTGGTAAATATTTCCTATTTAAATTCGAAATATATCCTTATCTTTGTTGAAAAACTCGAATTAAAATAGTACAACTCTGATTCATAGCTATCACTTTCATTTCCAGTCTAATTTTAGACAAGTATGAGCACCAGTAACACTTTCAGCACTATTGCACAACCTTGTAAAATAATTTGATGTTCAGGTGTTACACTTACCCATTAATTATTTAGTATTTTTTCTGATGATTATTCTAATGATATTTCTTGAAATAATTTATTGCTATATATTTGTGTTTAATTAACAGTTTATTACATCTTATCAAAAAGATCTTAATTATCATTAGATTTTAAAAACAATTTAAATCATGACCTATTACCAATTAATACTAATAAAATGATTGCTAAATGAATAATTTACAAACAAAACAGCTCTGAAACTGTCATATCAAGAAAGATTGTTTCAAAGACGTTTTTTATCGTATATTTCACAACTCTTTTCATTAGAAATCATACTTATTATGCTTAATATACACAGAATGATGATCAATCTTTTCGTTCTAGGACAATTAGCAGCGGATAACTGCTTACATGAAATAGTCACGATAATTTACGAAGAAAAAATTACCTCATTTACCGTCTTCCTACATGAAATTTATACACGGGTACAAAGATCTATGATTGTAACATGGTTTTTGTGTTGAATGAAAAAAGCTTTGTTACATAGACAAATAATTGCAGACGAAACATTATAGTTTTTGTAATGGGATATATATATATATATATATGTACATTCGACAATGAATTCTGTGATCCGTATCGATAATAGGTAAAAGAAAAAAAAAATGATAATATTATATTGTTGCATGCATAATAATTTCGAAGTATTGACAATAAATATTTAATGAATCAGAATTTGAAACGAATATCATTCAATTTTTTCAACGACATCAGTCAAGAAGTAGAAAAATTAAAACTTCTTCCCTTATGTAGTGTTTTGGTTTTTATTATTTGTTTATCCTTCTATTATAGTAAATAAGAGAATTGATTCAATGAATAATATCAAAAGAAACGAAAAATTGCTCTATTTGAATCATTTTAACATGAAGCATACTACGAAAGTAATCGCTAACAAATTCACTCAACATAATTGATTGATTATTACTATTTATTTCAATGAAAAAAAAAATCATGAGGTTTCGTCCACAACTATTTGTCTGCAAGGAAAAAACTTAGTACCTGCTCATTAGAGACCTATATAAACTTTCTTTGGTGAAAAACAAAACTTTTCGAAGGTAACATTAAATAATCCTTCATCTGCTTTCAAAAGTTCTAAATAAATAAAATCCTCTATAAAAAATTGTTGATAGTTCTATTGAACAGTGTTTCCTATTCGTTTAATAACTATATTCGTTGAAAATCAAGAAGAATAAAAAATATTTGAATATTTCAAAGGAAACTGTTTGCATAAATTATGTTTAAGAAAGGTTTTGTATTAATTTTAATGCAGTTTTCTATACTTTAGTTTAGATCTAAATTAAACTCAATTCTATCATTTTAAAATTATATAAATAAGTTGATCAGATTTTTGGGCTAAATTCTGTTTCATTTTATTTTTCATGACAAGATTAGTGTATATAAGTGTTATTCAAATAGACGATAACTTAAAAAAAAATGAAAATTTTTATTTTCTCATTATATCTTTCAACAATCTTATGTTTGACATTGATGAAGGCATGACAATATTTTTAATTCTTTAAAATTAATTGAAATTGGTGAATAAATAAAGAAATATCAAATAACAAGAATATTTCTATAAATAGTTTTGCATATAAAAGTGTTTATTTTTTTTTTTTAAACAATAAAACGCAGCTGAAAAGAACAAAAGAAAATCAATGAGAGACCATTAAACAATATTTAATATGAGACCTCTTCTTTAACANCCCACACCCACCCCCCCACCCACACCCACACCCACACCCACACCCACACCCACACCCACCCACACCCACACCTTGTACACATATGTTGACCTCTTTTTTAATTCGACCCAAGATTCTTTTTGCCATTCTAGAAGTATAGATAGATAAGTTTTATTGAGCTTATTATTTTTCTTGTTCAATAAACTTCATCCATAGAAGTATAATTTTCCCGTGCAGAAAAAAAACGTCAAATGAAAAGATTTCCGATCCAAATAAAAATTATCGATAAAGACATAATTTGCTGCTTTAAACGCTTCTTCATATTGAAATACATTCTTCATTTTATTTGCTCTATTATTGTTATAATTCAACTGTTTTTATTATTTTCTCATTAAAACACTTCTTAGATATATATATAATTATACCTAACTCATTAGTAATCTTGCGTATATTGTACGTCTAAAATGATACCAATATCTTAGTTATTTTCTCAAATAAACATTAATAATCAAATGTCGAAAAGAACATCTCTAAGTCACTGAACCAAAACCATATTTTTCTTATTCAACAACGTTTTACATCATTGATATTTACAATATTATTATAAAGAAAAAAGAAAAAGCTATTTCACTAACAGTATCTACTATTAAAAAAAATATTACGCTATTCTTTATATATCATTTTTTTTCAACTTCATTTGACTGTTCTTCTTTTGAATTTTGTACATTATAAAAATACTACAGAATGCAACGAACAATTAATATTGTTAAAAGCGACAATATTTTGAATATGCAAGCTAGTTCAGTATTGGAAGGTATCATTGTTCTGGTCAGTGATATTTCCAATATGCAACTTGGCAGCAAAGACAAATTTTGGACCGCTTTGTTGTGTGACAAAGATCAGAAAATCCATCGAATAACAAAATATTTATCATCAACAGGAACATGCATGCTTCGTACAAAACTGATTGAACATTTTAACAATCAATCTGGTGTCAAGTTAAACAAGTTGAAAAATATTGGTGAAAATGCGTATGTTGTTATATCTGGAAGGATAGCTACACCAAAAAATCTATCATTCAAACCTTTATGTATTTAACATACAACAATAAAAAACATTCAATCTATGTCAGATGAAGAATATGTAACATTTGCATGTAAAATTATAGACATTGCCTCAGTAAGCCTTCAAAAAAAACAGTTTCTTACCAAATATTTTCTTTTTGAGGAGGAAATTGTATTCTTTAATAACGCACATAAAAGGATTCAAAAGTTTAAAAAAAGCTGTTCTAATGACTGATAAAACTGATTTCATCAAATTAAAACTTGGGGAGAATAATTTTACATTTATAGAAAAGGATCAATTTTACTTGATTAAATTAGCAACAGTGAAAATATTTAATGATGACATATCTGTAACAACGACAACACATACAACGTGAGGTTCTGTACTATTTGTCTTCATTTTTTTATTTATAAACAGTTTTCAAATTGAGAAATATCTCTTAACATATACTTCTAACAAAATCCCTAAAAATATTTCTAGATTTGAATCTATCGAAAACATCGGTGATCTTGTCTCTTGTGATTTTCTTAATCAGTGCAAGAAAAAAAAAGACAAGCTACTATTTATGCTATGCAATCAGTATCCTAATTTCTTCCAAACAATCTCATATTATTATGTAAATAGAAAAATATATAATACAGCAGTATTGGTTTCGCCGATTTATTGACATTGTAAAAAATGAATCGCCACAACAACTATCTAACAATATTTCGGAAAGAAAAACGAATAACAACAAAGTTAACTGAGAAATAATCCAAGAGAAGTAATAGAGTAACAACAAAGTTTTGATACAAATAGGCGCGGCTCAACCAAATAACAACGTATTCATAGAAACGATTACTATTTTACATATGTAGCAAAACAAACTTATTTGGATAAATCAACAGACTAATCAGCATTATGAATTTAAAAAAAAAATTATCCTATGTAGTTGATAATGTAAAATAATAGACATTATTTTATATTATCAACTACATCGAACATATATATCTGCTCAAAAAAACCGGAGAAGAGAATATCTTGCGATATAATGGTACTATCGTAACTAACAAACCAGTGAAAAATATTCACTGATTTCAATCGGATTTGTCTGCAACAAAATTGAAATTGAAATCGATTGATAATTTTGGTTAACGTTGATCATAACTTAACTATTACTTGATATTGTTACTTATCCAGCGTGAAATTTTCTGATTAAAATCGAGTTATTTAGCAACAAAATCGAAATTATTAGTCGATTTATAAACTTGATTTTGCTGCAGAATAATGCGATTTTAATCAGAAAATTTCACACTGTATCAGTAAAAACATCAAGCAATAGTGAAGTCATGATCAACGATAATCAAAATTATCAATCGATTATAATTTTGATTTTGTTGCAGAAAAATCCGATTGAAATCAGTGAATATTTTTCACTGGGAGAGCTAAGAAAACAAATTATTGTAAGAATGAATGAACACTCGACCATATTTTTGAAAACGAGTCTTCTCTCATTTTTTACGAGTTGGTTAACTGGGATTTGGTCGAAGAAAAAAAAACAAGTTGAAAAAAAAAGATCAATCATCAAGTGAACAAGTAAGATATTTGGGTTTTTCACACATCGTTTGTTTTCTTACGTATTCAATAAGTGAATACTGTTCACGTTTAATAAAATTAACTAATGATGTTAAATTATTTTGTGCAATACTTTCATCCATGCAGTCAATATACTCCGACTTTTTTCTTTTCTCAACAATCAAAGGCAATAAATCTTTGTCCATCAGTATCTTACTTGATAAAAAACGACCAACACGACCATTACCGTCGACAAATGGATGAATTCGAATAAATTCTGCATGAAACCAAGCAGCTAGTACAACTGGATCAATATTTTCCTGTGCATATTTTTCATACAACGAAAATAATAATTTTAATTGCTGTTCAACTTGAGATGGTGGACAAAATTGAAATAATTTACCATCTTTTCGTGTTGGTGAATTTGGTTCTAGTTTAAATCGACCCGATGGAATCAATGTTCTAATTTGTGCTTGCAACTCTGGTATATATTGACTTGTAAATGGTGCATATTGTATATGTTTAGCATGCACTCGTTTTAAATAATCTAATGTAAATAATAATGGTAATTGTTGAGAACTGAAAATAGAGAAACAATTGGTTATAGAAAAACAGAAATAACATTTATCAAACTAATTAAAAGTACTTAAACTCAACAATTAAATTGCAATTAAATGATAAGCAACTCACTTGTTGAAGATGAGCTTGAACTGACTATTAATAATTTTTATAATTTGTTCGCATTCATTTTTGGTTTTATTCTTTCCTTCTTCGAATAAAATGCTCAAATTCACTTTCTTCATCATGTTAATTACGATATTATCATCAATATCGTAAACATATTCTATTCGTCCTGTTTCAATTGCATATAAATAGAATATTTCTTTGAATACATGATGCTGATTCATATATTTTTTTCTTGCATATTTCATAAATGATATTTGTTGACTATCAATGACATTAGTGAAAATATTTTGATATTCTTGATAATTTAATGCTTGTAAACCGTTCCATTTATAATGATATTTATCCATTGAATAATGTTCAACTTCATCTTCATATTTTTTTACTCGTGCCAAATAATCAATCATCATTCTATCTACTTCTTGTATCATTGCGTTAATAAATACCTTATTTGAAATAAATTTTCTCAATTTTACTAATAAATATTTACTATATTCATAATCATGAAGTTCTATGCATGATTTAGCGAGTTCATAAATCAACGCGGGTTCGTTTTCAATTGATCTCTCATCATTCATGTATTTGTCTGTGATATAGCTGAAGATTTTTGATGATATACCTTGGCTAAGAACATGTACAAGATCGAGATCATTATATTTTGTGAAATTTGTTAATAAATCGTAATCTTTTATTTGTTCTTGTGAAGTATTCGTACTCGCCAAAGGTAACAATAAGAAAATTAATATATATAACATTTTCATCTGAAAAAAAATATTTATATAAGTCTGGTTTTTCTGGCAGATTTTTTTGCATTTTGTTCGTATTTTTCATCATTTTCTTACTTATCAAAACAACTGATTTACAGTTAATTTATCCTTATCAAAGAGACAACGAACAAAAGTCAACCAAAATGTAGTCCACCGTCCACAATATATCAATATGAAAATATATATCAAACCCATGTCGAACGGTACGGCATCGGTACACGTACTACGAAGTGCATTATAATGCACTTTCGTAATTTTCATATTGGTCGATTTCTGAAACCCAATTAGATTTTTTGCTTGTTTTTTTTTCCTCATAACTTTTAAATGTTTTTTGCGTTTTTTTTTTGTCGTCTTTTTTTCTCCCTAAGACGAAATTTATTCAGAAAAAAAGAAAAAAATTTTACAAAAAAATAATACGTAAAAATAATAAATTTAAAGAAAATTTTTAGTTCAAAAATATTTTAAATTATTATGAGTAATCATTTTTTTTATTTAAAATATCTAATCCTATCGAATTTATCTCGTTTCAGTTAAGATAGAATTAAAGAATAAATATAAAATATATTTAATTTGATAAGGGATTTAAATATTTTTTATATTTCTTTCGAACACGAAATGAAATAAATTTATAAAAATTTCTATCGTGATTTTATTCTCGATGGACATATTCTATAAGAATTATTTTATTTTATTTTTTTTTAATTCTATGGCTGAAATAATTGGACTTCTTTTTTTGAAAACCATAGTTCTATTATGTAAATTATATTTTACATTAAGTAAGCATTAATATACATTACAAAGGATAAATTAATATTAAAAAACAGAATAGAACGAATGTTTCTAATAAACTTATTGTACTTGAAAATGAATTAAAATAATTACACGCAGTAGAGATTCTTATTTGTCCTAAATGAAACTGGAATTATTTAAATAGATTTCATGTTCGATTTAAAAATAAATAAAATAATTTCATTTTTTTTACTTTCATCGAAAATAAAGCAATTAGATTATGTTGTTTTCATTTAAATGAAATGTAATAGAATAGGAAAAAACCCAATCTGTTTTTAATGAAAAGCGAATCGAATAATTTTGTCAATTAAATTATTTAATTTTATTATAAATTGATAAAAGATATAAATTAACATCATTCTAGTAGAGTAAGTCGGGGTGAATGTAGACAAAAAATTCGTGAGCTCATGTATATTGGCAATAACTTTTTATTTTTCATTTTTTCGAAAAATTTTCTTCACAAGACACCTAGCTGAATCTCTCCTCTATCGATTGGTGAAATCTGTTTCTCAAAGTCATATGAGTAGAGCTATCCACAAGGTATTCTGTGAACACTACTTTTCGATTTTACATTCACCCCATTTGGGTCGAATATATAGTCACGTTGGTGCTATTGAGGTGAATGTATAATCTCAGCTATTTTCTACATAACTATTAAAATCTAATTTTCAAGCGTTTAATTTAACATTTTTTGGATATTTTTTTTACCACTAGATAGGTCAAAGTCTTTTCTATCACTCTAAACTAATCTTAAGATTCTAAGTCAACACTGTGCTTTTTTTTATAAAACTTACAAAAAAGGTTCCAAAAAAAATTCTTGTCTATATTCGCCCCATATAGGGTGAATGTATAATCGTCATTGCGCTTGTGGGGTGAATCTATAATCTCAGCAGATTTTGCTTTACACACCAAAACTTAAGTTTCACCAGATCCATACAGAATTATGAGGTTCTCTAAAAAGCAAGGTTGTTTAGAATGATACGCTTAATAAATCTAAAGAATTTCAAAAATCGATTTAAACATTTCACATGAACTTTTGCATGTGATACATGAGCAAAATATTAGATTTAAACTTGAAATGACTATTGTTCGAGTGAATTTCTAAAAATTACGTCTGCTACCATTTTCCAAGCTCGTCAGGAGAACTCAAGAGTGATTCTGCTCCTCTTTTTTTGACGTTTTGGGCTTAGTTAGTTCTCTTAAGAAAAACCAGCGGAGATATTAACACTTTGTTATTTAATTTTTCATTAGGTTGTCAGATACTAAATAAGAGAAGCATTATTTTCCTAAGCTATCTGATAGTTTAAAGGTTCCAAATGATTGATGTACCACCAGCTTTAGCAAAAATTGGGATAACAGGCCGTCATCTATAAATATTATGCTTTCCTTTGAAGATTCGATTATTTTCGAAGTTTTCAGGAGGAGACCGAAGTCTTATCCGTCAGAATCTCGGTGGAACGAGGCGGGAGAACTGCTATCCTAGCATGGTTTGATAAACTGAAGAGAATCTATGCAATACTGATTTTGAAGTTTTAAGAGGCATCTTCAAATGAGACTCTAAAAATAATCGGTGAAATTAACAGATTAGGATTATTCTACAGGGTGGTCCATAAGTCTCCGAGCAGTCTTATATCGCGAATAACTTTTGATAGAAATAAGATAGAGAGCTGCGGTTTTCACCGTTAGAAAGAGGAGATAAAACTGCATATATCTAAAGGTTATTTGACAATATTAATCAATAACAAAATAGTTTCTCAGCGATCTTCGAAAAAACAGTGGCATTTCTGTGAATATAACATAAGATAAATTGATCTAAAAATCACTTCACACTGTTTAATTGCTATGAACTTTGTGCCACTTTGTTTGAATGACACCTTATGCATCCTTATATTAAAGTCGCCGATTATCTATCTCTCTTTGATCTACGTCTCTCTTCTGTTTTAATACGTTGGTGTCAATGAGTATAGAACATTGAAACGTGCTAAGATAAGAAGGAGAAAAGAATGTTATGAAAAAAAGAACGACAAGCGTACTGGTCTCATATTTTTCTTCTGCTTTTTTTGTAAGCGTACTGATTGTTTTTGGTGAATAGAGGAAGACTTCTTATTCAGTTGCACACCATATTAAGATATATCTAGTCATGGCCGAAGGTATCCAACATACGCTCACCACAGAGCAACGAATCTATGTGGTAAAAAATTCTTATCAGACAAACAACAAGAGTGAAACGTGTCGCCGTTTCAATGAGCAATTTAATCGTCAAATCAAACGTGACACTGTTGCAGATATCGTTGATCGATTTGAAGAAAGCGGTAAAGTTGATGATAGAAAGCGAACAGGTCGACCATTTGTTGTTAGAACAGAAGAAAATAAAGAGGCAATTAAATCTCTTTTTTCAAACAATCCGACGACATCAACCAGGCGTGCCGCGTCTGAACTTGGTATTTCGAAAACGTCAATTCTGCGCATATTATCCGAGTTGAAATTGCACCCATACCGTCATCGGTTAGTGCAACAGTTGAATGATGATGATCCTGATCGAAGAACTGAATTTTGTGAAAAACTTCTAATGATGGCTGAAGAAGATCACAGCATCTTTGATAAAATCATTTGGACAGATGAAGCAATTTTCAAACTGAATGGGCACGTCAACAGGCATAACTCAATTTACTGGGCATCGGAAAATCCACGAATCGATATCGAAAGAGACTTCAATGTACCTGGAATCTCCGTTTGGATAGGTATATCATCGAATGGAATTATTAGTCCATTTTTCTTTAATTCCACTGTCACTGGTGAGAGCTACGTTGAGATGTTAAAGGATTACTTCGAACCAGCAGTCGCTGATTGGTCCGACTTAAACGACTTCTGGTATCAACACGATGGCGCTCCAGCTCATTACAGCCGAATCGCCCGTGAATATTTGGACGAGATGTTTCCCGACAGGTGGATGGGTCGTCGTGGCCCAATCGAATGGCCTCCTAGGTCGCCTGACTTATCACCACCCGATATCTTTGCATGGGGTGTTGTGAAGGATGCAGTTTATTCAAAGAAGTCAACCTCAATTGATCAGCTTCAAAATGAAATTGTTGATGAGTTCCAACAGATTTCAACTGATTTGTGCAAGAAAGTCTGCCGCTCTGTGGAGTCTCGTCTTCATAAGTGCATTCAAGCTGACGGCTGGCAGTTCGAACAAGATTGTTAGCTAGTTACAATATCAATTTTTTTGAACAAAACGCTATCAAATACAGATACTAAGTTTCAAATGAACATAAAGCGTAGACAAAAAGTTCTTAGCAATTAAACAGTGTGAAGTGATTTTTAGATCAATTTATCTTATGTTATATTCACAGAAATGCCACTGTTTTTCCGAAGATCGCTGAGAAACTATTTTGTTATTGATCAATATTGTCAAATAACCTTTAGATATATGCAGTTTTATCTCCTCTTTCTAACGGTGAAAACCGCAGCTCTCTATCTTGTTTCTATCAAAAGTTATTCGCGATATAAGACTGCCCGGAGACTTGTGGACCACCCTGTATTTTTAACTTGAGGATAATTAGTTTTAATATCATTACAGAATTCATCAAAGTCAATACGTAAATCAACATTTTTAATTAATAAACATAGTTGCGGTGGAATAGCTGGAGACGAAGGAAAATAATATTTTTCATTATCTAATACTTTAGGCCAATGAGCTTGTTCAAATAAAAAAGAAAAAGAAACAGCATCTTTCATATATAAAAGAATGTCATATTCATTATTGAAGAGAATATTATTTGATGAGCGACAGTTTATTACTTGAATATCAACTTGATGAATCTTTTTACAATGATCAATAATACCTTCTTTAACTAGATTACTTGTAACTTTTCCTGAACCAAAACGTAAAACAAATGGAGGAAAAGGGTATCTTGTTTGAGCAAAACGTGTTGATTCATTAGTAATGACAAAATTATTAGAAGATGACCGATGTTGATTATCAATAACTGCACGTGTTTGATTTTGATCAAGTTCAATAACAGCGAGATTAAGTGGAATTGGATTACCACGAGATGATTCAGTATCTTTTAATGCTTGAGGGTCATTAAGTGCAGATTGTTTTTGTTTTTTCTTGTTCGTCACTATACAAAAACCATCCTCTGATTCATCGGCCGAGAGTGGACGACGGACAGAAGATATTGGTGAATTAACGAGATTTAAGTTTGATGTTGAAGTTGATCGTGGTGTACTAATCAAATTTTGTTATTTTTTAATTTAAATTGATACATGTACTTTGACCTTGATCCAAATGCACATCGTTCAGATCAGATTCTATAACCTGATTATTTGATGCTTGTAACAGGTTGTCACCATCATTATGAAGATAAGAAACTGAATTTGAGGTCATTATCAATGACTTAAAATTCGGTACAGAGAGAAAATCAACGTAATTAATTAAGTTTCTCGATCACGCACTGAGCGCGTGATTAAAAAAAATATATATGTATATACGAAGAGATAAAGAAGTAAAGCGACTTATCAGTAGATATATCGAGAAGAGAATGACATCAATATATTCTGTGACAACTATTGTTGACTGGAAATTGGCAAAGCTCTTGAAAGGCTTTTAAAATTGCCGAAAGAACATTCACAAGAATAGCTTACAAATAAAGTACATTGTTTAACACAATTCATACCTGTCAAAAATCTGTTTTATGTAATATAAAGAAATCAAACAATAAAAACTGTTTTCATTCTCCATACTAACTTACGAGGGAACCACCCGAGGTGCTAAAAAGCTTTTCAGTTGGGGGTATGATGGTTAGGTAGGACATGACTAGGAGTGATCTATCCTAAGTTGGTTCGTGCACAAGTTGCTTCTAGTAAGAGTTACGAACTTTTCAAGTTACTTAGAGCATTCCAAAAGTAGTGTCGTCATTATCTTATTTCGATATAGAAAGCGTTGAAGAAATTTTTTTTTTGCTGTAATGATAGAGAAAACGACGCTCTATTTTTCTGTGCTATTTGATTACTATTGAACTAATATCATAATAATACAATTACGACAAGAATTGTTTTTCTGTAAAATGTAACGGTTATACTAGTTCTATTGCAAAAACAAGCTGAGTATTTTTTGAATAACTTTTTATAGGAACAAGATAGAGCTGTGATTTTCACTGTTCGAAAGAGGAGATGAAGATGCATCGAACTATATATTATGGGTTTTCCAAATATATTGTCCGAAGTTTGTTTAATCAATTTTCTAAGTGTAAAAGAAATGGTTTTTTATTGAAAAGCAAACAGCTAAAAGACCGTTGTTCACAGAAGTTGTTAGAAAAACGACCTGCATCTTCAAGTAGGGTACCTATGACTCTTGAAAAATTAATTTCAAACATGTCAACCTTATGCAGTTTTGCAGATGTTCCATTGACACTTTGAATGCACACCTGGCAATTAAAATTTCTCTATGCGCACCTCGCAAAGTAGATTTATTTTCAAAGAAGTCGATTGAAAACCTTTAAAAGAATCAAATAGAAGAACTCTGCAGCATACAATTCGCAGTATATTCATCTCCTCTTTCGAACAGTGGAAACCGCAGCTCTCAATCTTGTTCCTATAATAATGTATTCTTTATTATTAAGAATACGAGTTCAACACTGATCAAATTGCACAGAAAAATAGAGCGTCGTTTTCTCTATCATTACAGAGAAAAAAAATTTCTTCAAGCTTTCTATATCGAAATAAGATAATGACGACACTACTTTTGGTATGCCCTAAGTAACTTGAAAAATTCATAACTCTTACTAGTAGCAATTTGTGCACGAACCAACTTAATTAGGATAGATCACTCCTGGCCATGTCCTACCTAACCATCATACCCTCAACCGAAAAGCTTTTTAGCACCTCGGGTGGTTTCCTCGTAAGACGCATGAAATTTTCCGAATATACAAAGAAATATGGTTTATTTTGTTACTCCACCATGAGTCGTATCGAATCCAAAACTGAATTAGATTCGATAAAGATAGATACCGCCATCTTCACACCCACCCTGCTAAATTGAATTTTCATTTTAAAATATTTCCGAATTGGTATCTAGTTTTCAACGTTTCATCTATGCAATTACAATTGATTCCACTTCCTGTAATTCATCTGAAATCAATACTAATAGACACTAGAGTTTATTCCCTTTGTACTGTATTGCAACATAGAGATCGCTTTGAGTGTCTTCTTTTCAAATCACAAGTATAGGCTTTGATTTAACCAATATTTATCTATACAATCATATAAACAAAAAGTTTATCGTTTCTTTTAAATATTCGAGTGTGGGTGTGAAGATGGCGGTATCTATCTTTATCGAATCTAATTCAGTTTTGGATTCGATCCGACTAATGGTGGCGTACCA